ACTGCTATGCCGTGGCTAAAAAAGTAAAGTGGAGAAGGATACCAACTTATTTTATGTTTACAATAAATGCATCGACAATGTCACCAATTTGCCTGTTCTACAGATAAGGGCCAGGCCAGATAAGTGTCCATTTTCCAACTGGAAAATGTTTTAAAAAAATCTTCTCCTATAAGCATAATTTATACAGTTCTTGAAAATATAACTACTGAAAAACCTTGTGCCACAAATCTAGCACTGGGGCAACACTCTGTTATATTTTTACACCTTGATGAAGATGACTACTGTTTTTTCACACGTGTTCTCCTTTACCAGATTATATTGTACCTAGAATAAAAAGGCAAAAAGCAAACAAATTATAAGAAGGTTTGCCTTTTCTTCTGTGATAATATTTCAACTGCCGACTTTGTTTACCATCCATTTTAAAAATACACATATGAATGATAATAAGAATAATTATTTTGTATTAGACTACTTCCACAGATCATAAATGTAAGCTTTTATTATAATGTGATATTATACTAAGAAGTGCAAAGCATATATAAGAAGTTGAATTAAAATGGTGATCTCCTTAACCCATTCTGTGAACTCCTTTACATGCATCTCACCATGTCCCCAATTATCTCTTGTTATAAATAGACCCCCTAATTATTGCTCACAGATTTAGCTTTTTAACTTATCAGTCATTTAAACCTAAAACTTCCACCACTCACACCATTTGAATGTTAGTTATACAGTTAAAGAGATACACACCTGTTATGTAATCCCACTTTCAAGGACTTTTCGTGCAGGAAAATGAGTTGATTTGTGACTAATACATTTCAAATCCACCCTACCCTAATCATCTGCACATGGTGGAAACTAAGTATGGTGGGAAAAGCATTATGCACTCTATATATTCCCCTCTAAAGCAAAACTGAAGTAAAGGATAACACGTAAAGGAGTTCACACACTTTCATGTTCAGTGATTTTTACTGAAGAATGCAATTCACTCTTACCCTTTCAGTTACTGATAACAACAAATGTCTTGACTGTTGTGTATAACAATATAACAAAATGGCATAATTTGAATATCTACACTAGATATATGTGTAAAGGAAATCACTTGCTTAAAAAAAACTAATTTTGTTACAAGCTCCAAATGGACATACCCAAAATATCTCTTGATACCCTGGTTTTAGGTATGATCAAATCAAATTATATACTTCCCAGGTTGATTTTAGACTTTAATCTTTTTTATTTACTCAAAAATGTGTAATTATTGTCTTGAAAATAAACAACCATAGAAGAGGACATACGATTACAGCGACATGTTATTTTGGATATTTTTATATGTGAAAAAGTAATGTGACAATCAACTAATAACAAATTTTGGAAACATAAATGTTTACTAATTAATCGCTATAAAGGCTTGAGTCATACTTACAATTTTTGTGTTGGTGTTATTGCTTTGAAATTAAATTTTTCTGTTGGCGACATGCTACTTTTGAGACCTCACTATTGTTTATTTCCTTGGTTTGCTGGAAAAACTTAAACTCGACATATTATATATGCTTGGAAAGCTCTGTCCATAAGGAATGTGCTCAGTATACTATATAATCAACAAATGAACTGTCTTATAAAAACCAATTTTACTATTCATTAGATTAATCCTACTCTGGATTAATTTCTTATGTGTACTCATATTGTTTGTCTTGCTTCCACAACAATGTTTTTAAGAATAGCAAGGTAAAGGTGATTTAACAAATGTTATTTCTTAGTTTACTTTATATTATTGTTTTTCAAATTCCATACACATTGTAATTTTTAGCAATCATATTTAAGCACTGCTTAATAAAAGATCCAAGGTGTAAAACCTCAACAAACTACTATTGTTTTGTATTGGTTTCTATTCATTCTGTTGATTTTTTTGTTAGCTAAAAATTTTTAGTCTCAAGAAGAAACTAGGTAATTATTGATTTGACTAACATTTTCATTTATGTACTTTTATTTTAGAAAATTGAAAGACTTCAACAAAAACGTCAAAAACTGCTTGAAAAAACTATAATAGATAAAAATAGCAAATCAAAAAAAGAAAATGAGGACAGGCTCCAAAGTTTATGGAATAAGAAACAAGAAGAAAAAAATAAAACTGTGAGGAGACTTGAGGCTAAACATACCAGAGGTGATATATTTCAGTTTTATGCATGTAGTGCCAATCTACACATGATGCATGAATTAACTTTTGTTTCAAACCAAATGTAATATTGGTAAATGTAAATGTGAAGTTGTTTGTTTATTATTACTTGATGTCATGTTGATTTTTTAGTGCATAAAGTGTTTTAGTATTCCCAAAGAGTAGGTCTTTATTTCAGTTTTATGTATGATTCCAACGTACATATATTGTTGTGAAAAATTGTATGAGTTAACTTTTGTTTAAAGCCACGTGTAACATTGCAAAATGTACATTTGAAATTATTTGTTTATTATTACTTAGTGTCATGCTGACTTTTCATTGCAATAAATCATTTAATGTTCTTGAAGAGTTGATCTTTATTTAATATGTATTTTGTCTCAGCATTTCAATGTAGGACAAGATTTGCACATGATATTTTGTTAGTTTTGTTTGTATAATGGTGGTAAAGTATGTACAGGACTTTATATTTTCACCTTTATCAAAAGTTGCAAAAGATACAATATTTTCTAAGGAAGTCCAGCAGTAAATTTGTTGTTTACAAGTCCATAAGAATTGATTGAAACATCTAAAAATTGTGTGTAATTACAAACTTCTTGTAAGCATAAAGTGAGTGGTTCATGCAGCTACAGTTATTGTTGTTTAGGCTGAAGATAAAGGCAAATGTGAATATATAATTGAAATTATATTCTGTATCATAAAAATTCTTTTTTTAAATTGTATATTAGAGTTTTTCTAGATTATTTATTTGTTTTCTGTTAAGCACAAAGTTACACAATTGGCTGTCCATGCTGTGCCTGCCACGGGTATTGAAATCCAGTTTTTAGTGTTATAAGCCTTCAGTCTTACCATTGAGCCACTGGGAGGCATCTTTTCTAGATAAATTATATCCTCATATGTAAATTATATTTTATCTTCAATAACTCCAGTGCCAAGATCATGTAAATTTTAAAATTTATGTAGTCTATTATAATTTTAAATAGCTTCAGGCATGTTGTTTCTGTAAGAAGAATTAGTTTTATAGCTAATTACAGAAACATGAGTTCATTTAAGTAAGGACACTGTAATACAGAAAACAGAATGTTATTACGAAGAGTTACTTGCATTTTATAAGAATGATGTTCCAGATACTATGTTGCTTGAGGAACTACACTACATCTTCAATCATTAGTTGTGCTTCATCTGATGACCGTGATTTTGCACTATTGCCCAACATCAAAATTTCCAGGGAAAAAGCTTCTACAACTGATCAAAAGATGGCAGGTTAAGTCTTTAAACAACAAATCGTTGGGTTCTCCACTATAACTATATGTGAACATTGGCTTTCAAACAGACCAAAAGTACAAAAGTACACTGGAATCACATCAAGAGTCTTGACAGACACGTGGTTTCATAGAATTACTCTAATTCCAGTTTTTTTGTTTGATTTTTTTGCAATTCTTATCATGAAAATGAAAGCTTCAGAATTTTGTTTTGTGAGTCTTCATTAACTTCAAATCCTTATTCATTATCTCAGTTTGCTAGCCAAAAATATGTCTTTTATCACAGTGTCTTTTTTTTTTTAGGCCTGGAGGCTCTCTTTTATAACCATAGTCTTTACTTTGTAGATGTTTGTGGTTCTTATTGGCTTGGGGTGTTTCAAAAGCAAGTGTTACTATCTTAAACACTGCTGTGCAACTTTTTTTTTTTCTTGCTTCCATGGAGAACAGTGAAGACTCCCTTTTCCAAAATGTTGGGTTCTTTGGCTCTACATTATTTAACAGCCTTGCTCTACAATTACCCTTTCTAAAAAGGACTGGTATATATATATATATATATATGTGTGTGTGTGTGTGTGTGTATTTCCCATCCAACAATAGTCTACACTTGCTTGCATTACACTGTTGAAAAGTTATCACCGTAATCAAAATATATTAATTCTTAACACATTACTTATTATGCAGCACACCTCACACAAATACGTTAGCACATGTAGCACTTATCCTATGAAAATAGATTAACTTAATTTAGTTAAGATTTATTCATGTGTGACTTGTATGAAAGTAGTGTTACTGTGATATACATATGGTATATTTTGCTTTAACACTTATTAGTACTAGAAAACACATTTATTCCCATGGTAGTTAGTGGTGAAGTCTGGAGCCTACTTGTGCATAATGAAAATATTATGAAATAGATATTTTCTGCGATTTAAGTATAGTACTTTTTAAAAACAAGATTAGCCAACTTAACTGTAACATGCTAGTTAAATTTTTACTGATGTTATAGTGTGCTGTTATAAATAAATATACTATTACAATATGCAGACTTTTATGGTTATATTTTAAATCATCTTTTGTAGAAGAAATTGTTAAATTTTTTATTGCCATCATTATAAATATATGTATGCACATGTTTTCATATTGTTTACTTTGAGGATAGAAGTTCAACGGTTAGACAGACTTCATGAAAAGGAAATGGATTACTCTAGTAATACGGGAGTAATTGAAAAGTTTGCAGATTATGGTTCCGAAGTTTATGCACCAATTCCAAGACAGGGTATTCTACGTAACACATTAGAGGGTTTTAAAAGAATTGAAAAAAACAAGTATTTAACAACCTACAAGGGTAAGTAATGGACTGTTTTTAAATCTTGTTTATTTATTGTACAACTACTTGCAATCATTTGGAAGTAACCATTTTTTTAGGTGATAATAATGGTATACTGAAAGTGCATTATATTTTATTTTACATGATTAACTAAATATTTCAAATCATAAGCATTTTGTTATCTATGAATGACAAAATTTTAATTAATTATTAGTGTATAAATAAAGACTAACAACAGAATGTCTTTTTAAGTTAGAGTGATGCAAAGTAAGACTTTAATATCAAATTAATATTTGATTATCTTCAAAAACCTTTAACTGCAACTTTTGTATTTTACAGAAAATGTGAGTGAAAGTGTAATGAAAAATGTTTTGATTAAATCCAGGCTAATAAAGATACTTCAAATGGGTTTAAAAACCAATTTAGAATTTTTGGTTTCTTTGTCTCATCTATCACAAAATATTTCTTGTTACAATTGAAATGGATTATTTGTAAGATGTCTGTAAAGAGAGTTATATTCAGCTAGTGAAAGAAGAAATTAATTTTCTCTTACAAGTGATAGTGAAGGAATATATATTAGAAAGGTTCTTTTTCTAGGTAGAGCGCAGTTTGCCTTTTCATAGTATTCTTAATTTTCTTTATTTTAGGGCTTAAGGGCCTCGAATCTTGGCTTCGTGGTACTGGCAAGGTAGATACCAATCCATGTACTCCACAATTTAAGAGGGGCTCTTCAAAATCTGCCCGCTATAATAGACTATTGACACAAATCCAAAAAGATATTGAAAGTAAGTTCTTGTTTTAATGGATACCATTCAAAATATTTGCTGTATGAAAATATATTTTACTTCATTAACAACTGCTAGAGAACAATCTTTTAACTGGGTACTTTTCCACATGGTATAGTGGGAGTAGGATGTATGTGGCTTCTTTAGCAAATAAGCTGTTTTACAGCAGTTTAAAGAATTTCTTGGTATTCAGTTTAAAGAAAGACCTCTTTACAACATGCATATTTTTTATTAATCCAGTTGTAATTAATGAGACTAACTTTCTAGTATACTCTTCTTTGTACAAAATCCATGAATAATTATTTGAAGTTAGTAGGCCATTAACCCATTCACTGGAGATGGTACATAAATCTTTTTTATGTTCACAGCATAATCTCATCAGGGTCAATACTATCTATCCATAAAATAGTCAGAATTTTCCCCAGCTTCAATGATGCTTGTTGCCGTAGCAGCAAAATGTTATTGTGCAGGCCTCTTTGACATCTTAAGGGAAACTGATGCATAGAAGGCAGAAATAATTTATTTACTGTATGGCAACATATACCAGAATGTTGATGGACAAAATCACCACAAAAATTTACAATCCAACGCAACGTGCAGAAATTTTAAAAGCAAGAACCCATGTGTGTAACATCACCCAGTGGGATAATGGTAGGTTTACAGGCTCACAATGCTAGAATCTATTATTTGGTTCCCTGCAGTGGACACACCAAATAGCCTATTATGGCTTTGCTCAAAAACAACATCAACCAACTATATGTGTACCAGCATCAGTGAATAAAAAAATTTAGAGGCCACATCTGTACCAGCTGCAGTGAATGGGTTAATGACAATAAAGATGTATATATTTTATTTATTGCACTTACTAAGTCTAATTTAACAGTTATTACAGTTCATAGTTTGTTCCTTAAAATTAAGGCTGTTTTGTTTTTATGTTCTACTAATTCCAGTTGTAACATTCTACAGTAATTTTTAAGAATGACTTTATGGTTACCTAGAAGTAGAAGCTTATTGTTAAACTGTTTTTTTTTTATACTTGGTAATAAATGCTGTGAAGTTTTATCTAAAATTCCGAATGTCAAATACTTAAGTCACATAAATATTATGTTGTTTTTGATTTTAATTTTTGTACGATACAAAGTAATTGGCAAACTTTATATTGGTGAATGGCTAATCTTTTTTCCTATCAGCACTTTAAATTTAAACATTTCTTACTCCACATATATATCTGAAGGTAATTTTTATTGATTACATTATTTTACATTTTATAATTGATTGTAATAAATTTGGTTGTTTTATTTCATATGCATAGTTGAAATGTTGTTATACTGTTTTTAGAAAGCTAATTCAAACACATATAATATCAATAATTTTTTTATAAACATTTTCATATTTAGTTGATTCAAAACAGTGCATCACAAATGCTTTTTGTGATTTAATGATGATTTATGGGTAAGGAAATTTTAATTTGTATTCATATTACAAGTTTTTTCCAGGAGAAAAAGCTTCTAAGTGTCGATCTGCTACTCCTCTTCGATTTTTGAAAAAGGTTAAAAAACCAGAGCCTTCTCCACAGCCACCTACTGTTGTACCTGTAACATGGGAAGAACTGGAAAGAGAAAAGGCAGCAGTCATTTTGCAACGTTTTATTCGTGGCAGAGCTGTGCAAAATCAGGTGAAGTTTAAATTAGAGATTTTTTTGTTTTTATTCTGACTCTTATTTCATATGGTATGATTAATTTAGGGATTGTGAAATTTCATTTTCTTTAGCTTTGTCAAGTACTTCCCTGTCAAGAGTGTCTTAACTTGAAAGCAAACACAGCAGCTTTTAATATGGCTTGTATAAACTGAGACGTATGTTTTAATAACGTCAATTTTATATGTCTTCAGTTTTTCATTGGAGCAATCATTAACCCTTTCAGGGGTGCTATTTCACAACCATATAGGAGCACTGAAGGTTTTATTAAAGTAACTAATAGAAAAAAAACTGTTTTTGTTCAATTTATATAACATGCTCATGAAAAATGTTGGAAAATTACACTTCTGTGTACATAAATATGAAAGAAAGTGAAAAAGTAGTAACTGAATTAAATATATTAAAATGTGGCTTGTTATTAGCTTTGAAGATTCTTGCACATACTGTATACTTAAAATGTTTCTAAATTTTCAGTAAAATATTAAGCCATAATTTTGTGTGTTTTTGATGTTCCAGATTAAAATTAGCTTAGTTTGTAAGGTGTTGATAGATACATAAAAACACTTTAAATTTTACTTAATTTTTTGTTACACTTTTAAAATGTATTTCAACTGCAAAGTAAAACTATCAACATAACAAATTAGGTGAACTTTAATTTTGGAGCTAAAAAAATTTGTGATAAATTTGTTATGCTAACAAGAATGTTTTATGGTCAAATAAAAATATATATTTAAATATACCTGTACTGATGATTATAAACTAGAAGTAGTCAGAAATTTACTGTAAGCATTAATAACATTTGAAAATATTGATTTAGAATGCTTAGTATCTTTCTGAGAAACTAAAAGAACTAAGCCTCAAAGTCATACTTTATGACACCAAAGATTCTTAATTTTATTATTTTGAATGTTTAGATTTTTTTCCCATGTCAATGAGCCTATAAGTCATCATAGTTAGTACAAGGCAACATTTTGATATTGTGAAGCTTCTTTGAGTTTATAAAATGTATTGATTATATAAATGACAAATTTTACAGATCTTTGAAGGAAAGGAAAGATGTAAAGATGTGATCAAAGAACTACGTAGTACTCAGGTCACATGCCAGACAGAAGAAGCTATGGAACAAGAACAAAAACTCATTGCTATAGCTCTACAGAATCAGCGTAAAAACCAGAAGGAACAAGTATTTTAATTTTTCACTAGTTTAGCCTATGGTACTAACATACTAAGAATAGGAAATCAGGTTAATATGAGGAAAATAAATTATGATAAGTAGAAAAGGGGTCATGTGCGGCTTACCTTCTAGATATCCATTTATCTGGTATTAATGAAATAACTGATACAAAAAAGTAGAAAAAAATATTAAACTGCCTGTGTTTCATGCTATTCTAAGGTAAAATATTGTCAGACCTTTCCTGTTAAATAAGGAATTTGCTTAGTTTAGTATTAGGTATTAATACTTATCATCAAGAATGATAGTTGTGATAAACAAATATCATGACTGTAACTGTTTCGTGACTTGGAAAACGAACATAGGTTATTCAAAAATAGCTTCTGTATTTTGAACTTTTATAAAACAGTTATTACAGAGCATAAATAATTGAAACTTTGCATACATGCCAATTTAACTGAGGGGTTTATGATCATATCAAAATTAATGCAATATTTATTATTTATTAATTAATTACTGAATTAATAAATTACCCAAAGTTATAAAATATTAAAAACATTTAAAAATTAAACACAGTATATGGAATGTACCAACATGTTTGGAAATGTTGAAAATCACTAATGGAAGTCATATTGAGCACTTATCATAAAAACTATTATGTTAATAAATATTTCTGTAATAACCAATTAATTGGTAATTAATTAATAACGCACCAAACATAATCACCCTTTCAGCTGTGAATACAGTTTAATGTGGTGGTCAATTCCACTATTTGTTAGTAAAAGTGCAACCCAAGAGTTGGTGGTGGGTGCTGCCAGTTGCCTTCACTCTGATATTTGCATTTCAAAATCAAGGACATTGACTGATTGTCTTAGTAGCTTTGCCATAAACAAAGCTATCAAACAAACAATTAATTAATAAAAGTTTATATATTAAATTAATTTTGATATACTCTATAGTCAAACTGAAAGGATTACATATTTACGCTTAGTAATAATGGTTTTATTAACTCTTTAAACCCATAATTTTTTGTGCATCCTTCTGAAATTATTTTCATGATTTCCTAATAATTATCACCATGCCTTATAAAATTTAAATTTTCTTAATTTTGTTGATAATAATATGGTTTGGATTAGCTTAGACATAAACATTATCAGACTCCGTCACCATCTGATGGATAAATTGGGATTTTTTGGCCAGACACTGGCAGTATCCACTCATGTTTAAGGAGTTAAAGCTCAAAATAGGGAAATTATTCCTAGAATGTCCTGTATATGTATTCCTCTTTATTTATGTAAAAATTTTCAAAATTCTATTTCCAATTGCTGTACCTGGTAGTGCAGTTGTCAAGACATTGGCTTTTTTTGCTATAACCAGAAAAGTCAACAGTACAACAGAAATAGGCCACTTGTTATGTTTAACCACTGTTGTTTTGATTGTGAATAAAGGAGTTGTTTATATACCAAAGTAAAACAACTGTGTCTTGCCTCTATTTTTTTTTATCGAGTTGACTCAACATAAAGATTCCCTGAATTTCCTGTAATTGTAACTTAATATTTTTATTCAATTTTGTCTGAGAACACCACTTTCCTAATCAACTAAACTTATTCTACTTATCTACCAGCTTAACCACTTGTCTGAATTAATCAATTAATAGATTTTTAGTTAAACCTGCAGTGATAATGTTGATCTTAAATTCAGCTATTGGTTTTGGTTAATTTCCCAAAGCTGGATGAACTACTAATAACCTTCAATGATAATATCAAAGTAAAATAAGTATTTAATACGAATTTTGTAAGCTAGATTTACTCCTGTGAAGGAAAATAGAAATTACCTTTTAGAGATACACTGTGAATATGCATGCATTTTTTTTTTCCAAAGTGAAATATTTATGTTCTCAAGGGAAAACTAATGAATGGTTGAATATCATTAAACATTTCAGAAAAAAAATACACACTAATTGGCATGCATTTATTAGCCAAATCTAAACCTCTTTCAGTGTCATTCTAAAATAAACTCAGGACTTGATTTAGTTTGATTTAAAGTTTTATATAACTAAAAGTATTTTCTTGAAAACACAAAGATTTTGATTCATAAAACCAAACAAAATCATAACATTGTACAGGTTACTTGCTCATAAAGAAATTAATTTGCTACTGTTAAATAGTATTATTAAAAAAAGATCCTTGCTCCTCCACATGTCTCAATATGTTTCAAATTTAGACTAGTAAGGTCTAAATAATATGTAACTTGAAATAATTACGTGTTTCAAAAAGTTGTGTATAAAAACTGGAGAATTACTTTATCAGGAAGCTATAGTGGATGAGATGTTATCAGAACTAGAAGGCAAAACAGTGGGGTCTCTTTTGGATTTCCTCAGCAAGGAACTACTTCGGCTGCAGGATGAAAGAAAAATTCAAGCTGCAGTCATTATGGCAGAAAGAGAGCGAAGAATGCAAGAAGCCCAAGAAGCAGGTCAAAGACAAGTTGAAGAATGGAGACGTCAACAAGAAGATGAAATATTTAAACAGGTTTAAGGATACATTTTTATTTCTCTAGGCTCTTTCTTATATTTCCACTGATATGGATGATGGATTGACTGCAAATGTCCAGCAAACTTTGTACTGTATCTAAGATTCTTAAATACAATTTAACCACCCTCAACTATACAAGTTTTTCAATATACATAACCATATCTGTCTGTCTATGTCCACATATTCTTTTGAGGAGGTCATAAATAAAAAATGTCTTTGAAACATTGCACTTGTCCTGGAGAAAGCCATTTTTAGAATGTCTTTTTATCACAGTGATGCTAACTTACTTCATTTTATGATCATTGTACATACTTTTGTTCATCACTTCGTATAATGATACATTTATGTATAGTAATTGTTTTTTGTTTGTTTTCTAATCTTGGATGAAAATTTGTGCTCACAAGCATTATACTTCTTTTTTTATTTTTCAAATCTAGAATCTTGTTAAAGATTTTGTTTATAGTTGAAAGGTTTGTTTGTTAAACTCTCTTTGTGTTGTAAAGTTTTTTCATTTCAACACACATTTGAATATTTATAAAGGTAATTATTGGGATTTTTGACTTGGACACCTAAACTTTTGCTTCATTAACACTTCAGTAATGTTTGTTTTTGAAAAATATAAAATCACAATTACCGACTGTAATGCATCTGAGTCTAAATCCAGTGGATATATTAGCATTGGCATCAAATTTTTTATTTGTCTACATCCTTATTATTATAACTATACTATGTAAACTTGTAACCATGAAAATTTTGAAGACTTTAAAAATTTGCAAATACATATCTTTTAAGTTGAATGGGAAGCTTTAAAAAAGCCATTATTCTTCTGCAGCTTGTGAAAATTAATGAAGATACCATTGATACCTATCTAGAGAACATTATCATGGACAGTGCCATAGCAACAGCTGAAGATGAGGCACAAAAAGAAGCTCAACACTTGATAGAAAAATTATCACATGTGGCAACAGAAGCAGAAGAAAGGTAATACATCTTTTGTAGATTGTTATACATTAGTTTTTCCTTCTGAATATTGGACCCAGGCCAAAGTGTTGGTACTATTCCAGTGCCTATAGCAGAAAATACATTAACTCTCCATATACAGGCTTGGTAGTTTTGACCAACCTTGTAACTTTTAAAATAGTAAGTGTATCATTACGAAGTTTGACATACTTTTAGTAAACACTACAAATCTTTTGTACACAAAAAATCAGATTTTCTAGTTAAACATTTTTACTAAAGATTAGTCTATGAATTTACAAAGCCTTTACTGATCAATCTAAGTGCAAGGTGATTTTCATGTTAAGAATACGTTTTGTTTGTCATCTTACTGCTCTCAGATTGCATTTGTATAATTTCTATGACCTCCTAAATGAATATCAAAAGGTTTTTCAGAAAAACTACATTTATTATGTGTTTGTTTGTTTTTTTCTACCCTAATGCTGTATATTAGCTCAGTCCATTTGACCAACCTCGTAGTCATCATGTAAAAATACAAAATATATCTAAATTATCCTTTTTTCTTAAAATACAAACTATTGCTACTCCTTTGGCTCAATTGTTGTGCAACATTAATAAAAACAGAAAATATGTGATTTGTAAATAGAAAGAATTACTGTACTGATTGAGGCTTTTTACTCTTTTGAAGAATTATTGAATTGAATTAATCTAAAGATTGATTTAAATAGAAATAGTCTATAAGTGAATAATAAAATAATAAATGTAATAGCTTTATTGATTTCAGAGCATTGTTCTGAACAAAGATATAAGTGTGCCTGTATTAGCTGTAATGAATATACAGCCAACCTTTCAAATATCTATAAACATATGTTTCTTAGGATATGCAAAAAACACAGTGATTTTTATATACACAGATAAACCACATAAAAATTTACAAAATAGCATAACATTCTGTATAATAATTAGTTCAACGAATCTCCTTGAAATGGGTGCTATGTGTGTCAAAATTGTTTAAGGAACATATTTCAAACAGTTTTGTTACATAAAACTCTAGCCATATGATTCAGTTTCAGCTATTATTAAAATGTTTAAATAGCTTGGGATGTAAAAAATTAATTAAGGGTTTTATCCACAAATAAAATAATAACTGTAAATTTTGAAAATATGAAAAGCATTTTAAATTGTTTTCAGCAGTTGTTATAGTAAAATGAGATTCATTTTAATGTTTAAACTTTGACAAAACTAACTAACATTTAAAGTTTTTCATCAGAGAAATAAAATAATAATGTTCAGACTATATTCAACAGTAGAAGCACTTGGTACAATTTATTTTAGACTGAAAGTTACTCTGACTGCAAACATGACATGTTGCTAATTTCAGATAGTAAACAAAAATATAATATGAGTGTTTAATCAGTTTAATCAGAAAACTAAAGAAACTATTTTGTTTTTTAAAATATACCAAATTTTTGCTTGCTCTATGAAATTGAAGTGTAATATTTTTAATTTCATTTTACCTAGATTTATAGTATGTCTGAATGTATCCAGAAAAATCCTTACTTTTGGGAAATATAAGTAAAAATAAAATGCCCTAACAGAAGCAAACTTAAAGGAGCATGGGGCATGTTTAATTAAACTACTGAGAATACCAACATCTCTTGAATTTTTTTTATTATAGTTTTTCATGACAAATTAAAATAGAGGATCCAGGATATTTCCATTATATTAGATATTTTCATTCTAAATATTATTTTTATTATCAGGTAGAAACTAAATATATGTAGAAATATTATTTATATGTTCCTTTAATTATGTGTTACCTTTGTTATTTTCAGGTATAGTTATACCAAAAGGAAAGAAATGATAGCTGAGTTAGTCCATTGTTTCCTATTTCCTGAGGTAAATAAGAAAGCTATCAAGAAAAGAGGTAAGATAAATCTTGTTATTCTTGTGTGGATTCTGTTAATATAACTTCAATATCTCAGATTTTAATATATGAATGGCAGCTCAAAGTGGTACAAACTATAATAGATTCAGTTCTCACATTGTTGTTAAATTGCTTAGAGAAAAATTTGAATTACTTGTTGACCTTTTTAACTTCTTCCATTGTTATATTTTCATATACAAAGAAAACTAAAGGATTAAAAAAAACCCTATGTAATTGTTACATTCTAAATTTGACCCACCCGGTGTTATTTTTTATTTATTTATTTTTTTGTGAATGTTATAATGAACTTGAATTTAATGAATGTATATTTGATTGGCAACATTACAAAGTCTTGTAATGTTTCAGTAGCTAAGATTTATACATTGAAAAGCTGAAGTTAAAGATGGTATTTCTACAAGAGAAAATTAAGATAGCATCTTTTGCAACATCAAGTAAGAATAAATGGTATACACTGAATTGGGTTTTTATTTATTTTTTCTTAAACTTGATCTTTTGATAGCCAAACAGATTTATTTTTTTATGGAACTTGTATCATTACATATATATATATTTCAATAGATGATGTCACCAAGTTTTTCCTTTTATCCTTCATGTGAAAGTTATTGTCGTAGTTTAAAAAATAGAATGAGGTGTTTTTGATGATGTATATGTATTAATTACTACTAACTGACTACACAATGTTTTTTTGCTAATTCTGCTTCCACTTTTATGTGCTGTTTTGACACAGGCAGTTTTAAGGTGGGAATGAATTGATATTTAATAATCATAACCACTACAGCTAACTTAATTAGTGGTCCTGTTCAGTAGTAGACTTGTTTGTCATTAAGTGGGGTAGGCTTGAACAACTGTGGTTTATTTTAGTTTTTATTTCTGCTTTTCATTCAGTACTGGTAACGAGGTCTTGCTAGCTTCTATTGATTAAACTTATTTGTAATTCATAGGAGATCAAAGTTGCCTTTCTTATTTTTTTCTTTGCACACATGTTGTTTAGTGGTCAGTGTTACAGAATATTTTGCTCTTATGTCCATAGTGATGCAGATATACACTACCAATATACAACTTTATGTTATCTATATTGTTGTGAGAAAAAATTAGTTCCTTAAATTTCCTCAGCACTGTTATTATGTTTATAATGGTAGGATAATATTTTAAAGTAGAATGATTGGATATTTTAAGAACATTATAGATACTCTCTGTTCTCCAGCACATGGTACTACATTCTTACCCTCAAAAGAGTGAAAGTCATGATCAAGATATTTTTCTGTTTGCTGGTTTATAAACCCAAGAGTTCAACGTAATTCCTTTTTTTTTAACAAATCGGTGAAGTGAAAAAAAGAATTGTAACATGCTAATAGATTTCATTTAGCAGAATCTAAGACTCAAATCAAGCCAAGTTTTTTTTTCACTTCTTCAAAAAATTTCTGAAATCATTGGATGGCACACCACGTTTCAGACTATATACAGTATCAAACTCCATAACTGGTTAGGTATATCCATTCTTGGAATATGAGGTGAATTTTATTTTTACGTTTCAAGTCAACCTTCATAATACAAAGCTCATATACAATGAGAAATATTAGGTGAGTGCTGCATCACTGAAAACTTATGACTTCATTTTCTTTGTGGTCACATTGTAAATGTTTTTTTTACTTTATGATAATATGGAAAATTGTATGTCACCTTCATTCTTTTAATGTTTCACTACTTTCATATTACTTTATTAGATGAAGCTGCTTTCATTACTGATTTACCTGAGTATGCTTTTCTTTTCCTTTTTTTCAGGTGACTTTCAACAAGAAAGGTACCATCATGTGGTTCACAATATCTTATATGATACAACTGAGCCTTTGGTCAGTGAAACCAAGTTAATTGACACTAGTCAAAATACTGAAAAAATATCTTCCATCTCAAAATGTCTCAAGGCTGTAAGTCTGTCACCTGTAGATGTAAGTCATAAAAATGTTTGTGATCCAACTGAACATCATCATCATGGGAAAGACAAAAACATTTCTAAGTTAAAAAACTCAATGGAACAACTTGCTGACCATCTAAAAGGTGAAAATATAATTGAACTACTTGATGACCATGGACAGGATGAAGATACAATGGAACAACTTGCTGACCATCTAAAAGGTGAACATATAATTAAACTACTTGATGACCATGGACAGGATGAAGATACAACAGAACAACATGTTGACTATCGACAAGATGAAAACATAATAGAACAACTTGACCATCTAAAAGGTGAAAATATAATTGAACTACTTGATGACCATGGACAGGATGAAGATACAACAGAACAACATGTTGACTATCGACAAGATGAAAACACAATGGAACAACTTGATGACCATCTAAAAGGTGAAAATATAATTGAACTACTTGATGACCATGGACAGGATGAAGATACAACAGAACAACATGTTGACTATCGACAAGATGAAAACATAATGGAACAACTTGATGACCATCTAAAAGGTGAAAATATAATTGAACTACTTGATGACCATGGAAAGGATGAAGATACAACAGAACAACATGTTGACTATCGACAGGATGAAAACATAATGGAACAACTTGATGACCATGGACAGGATGAAGATACAATAGAACAAGTTGCTGACCATCTAAAAGGTGAAAATATAATTGAACTACTTGATGACCATGGACAAGATGAAAATACAAAGGAACAACTTTCTGACCATGGACAAGACAAAAATACTGTGGAATAACTCGATGACCATGAATGAAAATATAAAAAAGCATCTTGCTAACTGTGGACAGGATGAAAATACAATAGAATAACATATTGATCAATGACAGAATTAAAATACAGTGGAATAACTTACTGATTGTGGACAAGATGAAAATACAATGGAATAGCTTGATCCTAGTGGACAATATAACAATTCAACTGATCATAGTCAAGATTAAAGTACAATAAATTCAGTTAACCATGAACAGGATTAAATATTTCTGGAAAGAGTGAAAACTGAGACCAGGTGTTTTATCCAACTAGGCTACCACTTGAAACAAATTTTATCTTCTGCATAGCTGTAATACAGAATGAGATACAACTCAGATGAGTAGACAGGATGAAAAACAACTGGATAGAATGAAAATTGATCTGAATTAAACAAACTCAGTATGCCATGAACAGGACCAAATACAACTCAACCAACTGCAACTGTGATGAAACACTTCTCAGCTGACTGGATAGAATGAAAACAGATCTCAACTAAATATACTCAGTAGACCATGAACAGCTTTAAACACAACTCAAAAGACCATGGATGGGATGAAACATATCTAAGCTGACAGGACAGTATGAAAATACATCCCTTCTAAACAAACTTAGTAAACCATGTACAGAATCAAACACAACTCAACAGATCATGGATGGAATGCAACACAACTCAGCTGACTGGGCAGGATGAAAACTCATCTGAATTAAACTCCAAAAAAACCACAAATGGGGTCAACCACAACTTGGGTGACTCAACAGAATGAAACACAACTTGACTGAATGACCAAGATGAAAAATACATCTCACCTAAACAAACTCAGAAGACCATAAAAAGGAACAAATTCACAACTCATTAGACCATGGATGGGATGAAACAGAACTCAGCTGACTAGACAGGATGAAAACTCAAATAGTAAGGTTGAAGTAAATGAGTAGAAACTTACTGAATTTGGATACAAAAGCTTTTAATTATGTCAATATGCTTCACAGTAATTTCATGTTATTGGTAATATATTTTCTAAATAAAATAAACTCTCAGTTTTAAACAATAAAAATAAATTTTTGTTCTTTTTTTAAACCTTTCCATGCATATCTATCCAACTTTTAAAAAATTTTAGAAAAAACATATTCCACCAGAAATTTGTAACATTGCATGTTTTATATAAATAAATGTTTAAATGATGAAAATTTTACTGATCATTCAATTATTTTTTCTACTACATTTAATATTATAGAAAAAATTAAAAAGTTCTGATATTGTCTTACATCAGCTTGTTCACTACAAGATTATAACTTATAAATGAAACATATATCAAATCCTTAAGCACTTCCTTTCAGAAATGCTACTTACCTCTTTCGCCAGTAAGAGCTATTACTTTTTACACAACTGCTGTGTAATTTCCTGCTCATGCCACAAGTCTTGAACACACTCCCACCCTTTCACATCTATGTGTATTGCACCAGCCTGTGACATAATCTTTATAATGCTGTAGCCTTCCACCAATAGGAAGACAACACAACCTCTATCCACAGTAATCCCCATGAGCACTAGCCCATGATTATAGGTTCATTATTTTCCTCAGCACTACCTGTGTTCAGACATTCTTTTTCCTGTGGCATTTTCGATTTCTAGTTGCTTCCATCTACTGCCTTTCTCCATTTAGTGCTACATTACTTTTGTTCTCATTTCACTTTTATTTCATTCACCTTATTGCAGCTTCACTTTCTATAGCCACCATGTTTCTACTCTGTTTGCCACTTCCTTTCTTCAGGGCTGGCCCCATCTTTACTGGATTGGGCAATTGCTACCTACTTTCTTCTTCAGGCATCACACCTGAGCTGGCTGGTAGAACTTTCTATGTCAATTTTGGCTCCCACTCAGTATCTTGTATACCAGGGAGTTTTCCTCATTTCCTGTGAGGTGTTGGGAAAATGCTCCCCCAACCAGAATGAGGCATCAATGAAGAGATACAAGTCAAGTTGGGGGTGGAAAAATACTTTGGATTATTTTGGAGTGATAAAGCCACCATGGCAGAGAGGGATGTAGTGAGAAAGGTTGAGTCATATGGGTGAAAAAGGGGATTGCAGGACATTTTTCATTGAACATCCAGAGCCAATTGAAGGGGATGCAATTGTGCATGACTGAGAGAGATTAGGGCTACTAGTGAAGCAAGTGTCCCCAAAAGTTAGATAACCTATTATGCAGGTTTAAAAAGGGGAGATCACCATGGCACAATGATGCAAGGGAGTGGGTTGAGCTCATCATGCCTGAGATAATTGAGACTTATCAGATCTGTTTTTTTACACTAAAATTCCTTTAGTGGGCCTTGTGGCATGACATGTCCAAGAGCGTTGACTCTTATGGTGAATTGCTTGTCTCGACTGGACAGGAACAATCCAACAGAGTGGACCTTGCACACTATTCTTTCAGTGAGCTTATTTCCATTTTGAGTTACCACTAGTAGATGCTTTTGTGAATCCCCTTAATTCCACCCTTTTTTTAGTCACTAATCTTAGACTCAGTTGCTCTGGGCCTGGATTGATCCAATCTTTTTCTCCATGTCTACCTTTCACCTGTTCTCACGGACCTTTTCAATTCTTTTTTTTTTGTCCATTGCCCCCTACTCCAGTCCCTGTTCTCGTCTGAGACCTTTTTGTGATTCTGTAGTCTCTTAATATCCCCCCTCCCCCTGAGCCATTGACTTCATATCCCTTGTTTCATTTGCCTCATAGGGCATATTTTCTTCTTCTCCTTGCTTGTAGTCATTGTCCTTCAACAATTTACAACTTATGCATCTACTGTTCTCTATCATAGGGACCAATTAATGTTGTTTCTAGCTTGGCATAGCCAGGTGATTAGGTTGCTCAATTCGCAATTTGAGGGTCGCAGGTTTCGATTTCCTGTCCCACAAAACATGCTCGCCCTTTCAGTCATGGGGGCATTATTATGTGACAATCAATCCCACTATTGGTTGGTAAAAGATTTGGCAGTGGGTGGTGATGACTAGCTGTCTTCTCTCTAGTCTTTCACTGCTATATTAGGGATGGCTAATGCAGATAGCCCTCGTGTAGCTTTGTGTAAAATTCAAAATGAAACAAAACAAACAACCTAGACTTTTACAACCTTCCATATACTTGAGCTGCTCATTGTACAATCATACCAATCCCAATGATCTTTTGTCCTGTTTAGGCTGTTTGTTGCTATCTTTCTTGGGCTTCCCCTTTTCATGGAAACCACCATTGCCAAATTCTATCGTGGTAGACCTCCTCCTCTCAGGAATTGTCCCATTCCACTTCCACCACTTGGATTCACCAGTTCATCTGTCTTGCATATTTTTTTCATGTCTCCTCCCACCAGATTCGACATATTAGAGCTTATCCTGCTTTTTTCATCACCAGCCTTTAGTGGCCATCTTACAGGCTGGTATGTGGACACATTAATCTCCCATAACTTATGTCATTGGAAATGTGGCTCTGGTTTCGCCTCCTTCCAGTTGCCATTCTCCAACCCAACCAGAGGCTCTAATGTGGTGAGTGTTGCTTGTTGAGTTTTCATTCATACATTTTTTGCCACCGCCATGTGTGTACATTTATTTCTGTGCACATTCCAACACATTACAAAATGATCACAAAAACAGAGGCAATATATACCAGATTAAGCATAACATGTGGAACTGACCACTACATTCCTTATGTTTGGTGCCTTTGAATCTAACTAAGTGGCCAGTATTGCCTGATAGGGAATATTTACCCCAAACGGAAAGCATTAAACACATTCACTCCTGCTCAGTACCTACTGTTGAGGTGGGATTTTGTGGAAGACTGCCTTGAAAGTATATTTATGCAATTGGCATAGCCATTTCTACACTTTTTACAAAAAAAAAGACAGCACTTGGTATAGTCCTGCCCTTACACCTGGCTCGCAGTTGCTGTCTTTAGTTATAATGGCCCATTGCACTGTCTTTCAATGGGGACCCAATACCAGCTGATTGTGCCTGATGACGGTGTTACATGCATACTCTGATGTATCTCAGAATATGAGTTTTTATTTCCTTAACCTATCTAAAATTAACACATACTCTCCTTCTTTTTGATAATTACTACTGAAGAAGACCATGAATACTGTGGAGGCTGTATTATTTACTCTAATCTTCAACAACTGTTTTATTTTAGCTGTGGCTATATCCTAGTGCTGTAGAAAAGTATGAGTAGTGGTTATTTTTATTGGATGAGTGTCATCGAGTCGTTGTTGTCTGATCTGGTATCACAAATATTACGAGTCACTGAGCTTCTGCTACTGTGTTGAAGCTAGATTGTTTGCATGATTAAATTAAATACTGACCCAGATGGGATAGCAGCCATATATCCACTCATGGTGATAATGTGACCAAAGCAACCTAGCTGTACCACTAGTCTTGGCTACCTGTGTTTTCTTACTGTGCGAATAACCATTCCAGTAATAAACTAAATAACCAAAAGTCCATAATTACAGAGAAGCATTAAAGTTGTGTCACATCTTGGACATATCACCACATCACAAGACAACACCACATTAGACCTCATACATAATACAACATGGAACATCAATTGTGTATTTGAAATTACTGTGATTCTCTCTTCAACATACATTCATGCAGTCAACTGTTGTGTGCCTCCGTTGCTTGGCCTTGACTGTCTTTTCCATAAAAACACAGCTCACCTGATTTAAATGCAAAACTGACTGATCATTCTTGCATTACATCCATCTCTTGGATTCCAATAAAAAAATCTAACATTGGAGACTACTTTCATCCTGTGGGGGGAAAATCATCCATATGTAGGTGGAAACATGCCTCTTCATTCATGTTTAGTTGATCACTATTTGTAGGACTGAAGTCAGTATTATTTGGTTAAAATAGTAGCTTCATTTGGAGCGCCTGACACACCACAATGTCACCAGGAATCTAGTGGCTCCAATATTAACCACCCAAACTCACTTCCAAATACATTTACTGGCACACACACACACTAAATACCATCCAGCTCAATAAGTACCAGGCTGAACCTCAAACATTTTGACACGAGAAGACTGTTACACTCATCCAGATGCAACTTGGGTTCCATTAGTTTTCTGGAAGCATAACAGCAGCATCCATAGATCACTGACAATTCTTCTGTACCTATGTTCTCTTAGTTATTTCTTTCTTAAGATCAAACCCTCAGTTTGGTAAATGAAGTTAAAGCCCTTAATTTAAATAATTATACCCTCAGCCAACAACTAAAGCATTTGCTTCAGTCCTCCATTTCAGAATGATGTCTATGTCAAGGAAACATCTGTATCAACCATTTATGGACACTGTGGTAGGACAGGCAATTTGTTTTCATTCACTCATATTTCATGGTGCTGCATTTTAGCACCAGGATGTGTTAGCAGCTGATTCATCAATGTACTTGGCATGACACAGGTGTTCCAGAAAGATGATGCGAACAATATACAGTCACTACAGCTGCTGTTGCAGGCTTTTTCCTCTTCTGTGCCTTGTTCAAAGCTACATCCTCAAACCTAGATCTAAGAGGGGGAGAATAATTTGTTTAACCTCACTTGCAGGCCCATGTGGTGGAGGTAATGACTTTTCTCCCACAGAGAATTGCCCAACACTAGGCTGAAACATGGTGTAGAAGGTGTTTTCAGAGACCCCCTATGTTAGAAAAAACGTTTGAACCCTGAGC